AAAATTTCTTAGAAAACTAAAAAATTTTGAATAATTATAAAAGAGATTGCTAGAAGATACATATTAAATCACAAGACTTAGTTTCTACTGGATTACATAAGAATCTGGGTTCATTATAAGTCTTTCATTTATTATAGATAAATAAAAAAAGCATTATCTAAAAAAGGTTGAAATCAAGTATGTTACTAAAAGTAAAGATTTTCATTAGACAATAAGTCTTTTTAAATAGTACACAATAAGAAAATCAAGCAGGTCTTTAAAAAAAAGCTAAAGAATTTTATTTTATTTTATTTATTTTATTTTCTTATAAGTTTATTTAAACATTTTTAGATATGTTACTTCCTCTTTTTTTTAAATCTATTCTTTTATAGTTTTCTATATTCTAATAGCTTGATAGAACATTTGACAGTAACAATCTACTAGTGATAAAGTAATAGACTAGGAAAATTTTTATTCAAAGATAACTATGGAGCAAAATATTGTTTTCAAAATTAAATTTAGAGATTATTATTGCTTTTAATAAGTTGATTAGATTTGATAGAGTATTTAACTATAGTATTTATTATGTTGCTTAAATAATAATTTATTTATATTTTTAATTAATCAATAAACTATAATCTAGCCTGGCTGCAGATACTTAAAAAAAAAAAAATCATAAGTTTTCTAAATAATAAATTTTAATTTGAATAAGCTATTTAATATATTAATAGTTTAAAATATTTTTTATTATTTAAATATAATTTTAAACCTATAAAGCTAAATAGTATGACTATACTAATTATCCTCAGGTGTGTTGTTGTCTCTAAAATAAAAACTAGTGAAAGATTACTAATGTTGAAAAAATTTTAGAGGAGAAGAGAAGGAGAGATTGGAAAATAAATAAATAAATAGAATAATTAATCTATATGTATAATTCCTTGCTATGTGACTTATACAAGAGGAAGAAAATTTTGTTCAGGATATTCATTAAAACTTTTCTAGTAGTGTTAAATATCTATTCATATATGATAGTAAAAACATCAATACATAGTTTGATCATATTTCAGATCTGTGATAATTTTTATGCAATATCAGTTATTTTTCAGATACCTTTATTTAGGTTCTTGGAAAATACAAGAATTTCAACCAATGCCTTTGATAATTAACTTGTGCTTTCTTGTGGAAGCTTCCAAAACATCAGTGCAGATCATATATGTGAGTAATATACTAATGCTTAGTAAGAAGGTAGGAGTCTTTAGGATAAACTACTGAGTCACTTTCTCAAGAGATGTAGAGAAGAGGAGATGGATTTAATTCTATTTAAAAATAAGAAGGAATTGGAATAAAAATGTATATATTGATATTGATAGATTAATTTACAAACCATTTTCTTTGATTCTTATTGTGCAATAAAGGCTACTATTCATATACTCAATTCTTTGTGTTTTAAAAGTTGAGCCAAGAAATATTGTAGATAGAGGAACCAGTGTCCTATTTTCAAATCTTCATCTATTCAATAGAGATGGGGAAAATCTATTTGATAATTAGAGATAGATAACTGTATCTCTAAAAAACCAGGTGTAGTATCTTGTAACCTTTATTATAATTGAATAGATTTTTTTAAAGATAGTCAATAACTTGTATGAAAGTGTGTCTTATATTCACCTGTATCAGATCCAATGACTTATTATAGATCCTAAGTTCTTATGAAGTTGAGGAAATGTATTTGGAACATGTGAGATAATCAATAGGAGCTTGTTTATATTCTTTTACTGACATGTATTTTTATATCCAATAACTATATGAGAAACTTTGTGCTACTTAATATTCAGGATCAAACTAAAATATACAAATTTCCCTAGAAAAAATTAAGAACGAGCATTATTAAAGCTACTACTTTAACAAGAAGGTTAATGGGAATGTTCTAAAAAGTCTCTTATTATAAATATAACTCTGTAGTGTTTTTCTATTAAGTGGGAGAACCAAAACACTTCAGTTATTCTTTCTTTCAAAACTTTCTTACTGTTGATAAGAAAGATATTTCATGACTTGAGTTAATAGAAGTCATGTTTTTATATGAAGAGAAATGTTTACAAGAGGGAGGGGAAGTGTAATGATAGTTTTTGAGCTTTTCTCAAGTTGGTTTAAGAAAAGTGTTAAGACTTTATTAACAAAGAAGTATAATAATTTTTTATGAATGTCTTTTTTATGTGTGATCAGAAGATCAATGAAGAGTTTTGAATTTATTATTTCAATAATATATATCAAGTAAACTAGTTTGTAAAATAATATTTATATAAAAAATTTTAAATAAATCATTATTAAATCACTATATTTATTTTAATTTATTTATTTTAATATAATATATTGCATATTTAGTAGCTTGTTGCAATAATATAACCATGTGACTTTGTATGACATCAGAAAATCATGTGGCTTGTAATACACGTCAAACATAAACTTAACAGCAACTAATAAATATAAAATGAAAGGTAAGTTAATAGTACTCTCTTAGATATCCTGTTACTCGATCCTGACTATTTTACTTTAGAATGATCTTTTTAATTTATCGACAGCAGTATAACCTGAAAAGTATAATTAATTGTGAACCATCTGAGATTGCAATTGAACGAGCCAAAAAGCCGCTTGTTCTACTACAAAGTTATGTATTTTTTATTGAGTATTTTCTTTCTTATATTGATAATGGATGGTATGAAGAAGCAACAGCTCTTTGAAGGGGTATTGTCCTGTTCAACCACCCAAAACCCTGATTCATTTGGGGGAGTGCATAAGTTTTGTCTGGGTGATTCTATCTTGCAAAAAAGCATGACTTGCATTTAACCACCCAAAGCCCTGATTTTGTTCGGGAGTGGATAAGTTTTGTATCGAATGGTTTTTGTGCATAGTGTCTTGATTACAAATAGATAAGTCTGAAGTGGAATAGTCTTCAGATGGGTTTGGTCCTGTTCAACCACCCAATACCCCTGATTTCATTTGGAGGGTGCGTGAGTTTTGTTTTGAGAGATTTTATCCTTGTAATTATGAGATAGCTTATGGTTTAATGTTATAGTACTTACTAATACTACATACTGCTTCATTAATAGGAGAAAAAACAATCGAGTTTATTTGCTAATTTTTGGTTAGTACAACAATGGAAATATGTAGTCATAACTGAATGCCCAGTTTTGTTGGTATGGGAGTTGCTGATCTGTCAATATAGCAGGTCATAATTATGGCAAGTTGGAAATATCAACTTCTTCATATCTTTTGTTGCTGCAGGAGGAACTTACTACCAACACTATACGCTCACAAGAGAAAGTTATAGAAGATGGTTGTTTGTACAAATGTCAAGAAGAGGTATATAACAAAATAAACTTATTTTGCTTTTTAATTAGAACAAAATCGAGACAGAAATAATGATATTTGATTCTCTCGTATTAAGTCCTATGAAGACTTCCAGCATATTATGTCTATCTGACAAAAGTAAAAAAATTTTTATTACTCCCAAGAAAGTAGGAATAGTGATTGAATTGTTTTTATATAGTGAGTATAGCTTAACGACTTACTTTTATGTCTATAGGATAAAGAGTTGGTTAACCTAAGGCCAGTATAGAATGCATCCTATGAAGACAAGAGCTCATTTATCAAGAACTTCTCTCAATCCATTAAAGAAGAATATTGTCTCACAGAATAATTCTTGGAGTTACTATAAGATAACAGAATATTTTTAAATATCCTGCATTATTAATATTAAATTGGCCAATACTTACTTAATAAAGGTCTTAATAGAAAGATATATGCTATGTATTACGATGCTAATACTGTATTGAATATTACTTCAAATTCAAAATGTGTCTATCGAATTAGAATATGGAAGCAATTCTGGACTTTTAAAGATGTTTTACTTAAAAGGTACAGCATATACAGCAGCTAAGAATTTGAGCAGATTGGATGAAATTATAATATAAACAAATTTTTTAAAGTTTTTAAAAACTTATTGTTTTGTTTTCTATTTTTATTTTTTCTATTTTTTAATATTTTTTAATATATTTTTATATATTTGGCCAAAATTATAAAATACTTTATATTTGAAACGTATTATCATTTGATATAATCACATTTTATTTTATTATTATTAAAATTTTTTACAATTTTTTTGATAGATAATCTATGTTAATAATGAGTAAAACATCTTTGCATATTAATATTATCTTTTGCAAATTTGACAGTAGAAATCATGTTATCCTTTAGAAAATCAGTAAATTTTCTTCAACAATAATTACGGTCTTCCAATTCGAATAATTTAAGTTAAATCTCATCAAAGCAAATTCGCTATATTCCAATCTTTCATAATCCAATTGTTATACATCTTTATAAATTCAAATCGAATTTTCTTATGTTTCTTGTGTTGCGTATGTACTATAAACCCATTTTTCTTAAGAATTCTTTGATCTGTGTCAAATGATTCAAGATCTTATAAGATCACTTCCATTTTAAATTATTACTATTGTGTAGGAAGTTATACTTGAATTTCATATGAACAAAGTGAACAACACTTGTATACTTTGTTAGCATATTAAAAACAAAATGTTTTGTTTTTCCAGAAACCTTATAAAATATGTGGGATGATTTTTCCATTGAGTCGAGCATTCAAAGTGAGAAACGTTTTTATGAATTTGATGACCAAGAGCATTGTTATTTTTATTGAATATATAATATTTGAAAGACCCGAGTCTTTCTTCAACTAACGTGCGAAGGAAGTTCAAGTAGCACACGTACAATTAAAAGATCGGAATTTACGTACTTAGAGACGCTAAAGAATTGATTTTCTTTTCGCTATATCCAGTAGATTATTTTAAAAATTTATCCGTTTAAGAAGCGAAATTATACATTATATCGAATTTTAATATGATTTACAGTAGATGCACTAATTTTTCTATATAGAAATCATTTATTCCTACAGCTCCATGCTAATTAATTATTTATGAAATTATGAATGAAATTAATTTCAACCAAGTGTTTTATAATTCATCACGTCCTCGAGACTTAACCTTTTCGCTGTCCTCTTTACTTTCCTGAGGACAAACCCCATCGATACCACATTTCTCATCATCCGAATCTTCCTTCTTTCCGACATCATCGTTCTTACTAACGTCATCCAAGTCCTCTTTCTTTTCGACATCATCTTTCTTTTCGGCATCATCGCTCTTACCAACATTATCCGAATCTTCTCTCTTCTCGACATCATCTAAATCCTCTCTCTTCTCAACTTTATCACTCTTACTAGCATCATCCAAATTTTCTCTCTTTTCAACATCTTCACTCTCAACAACTTCATCTTTCTTATCTTCCTTTTTCTTCTTGGTGTCTTCATCCCCCATGTTAACATCAAATTCAAATTCATAACTATATCCTTTACCTCTAGCCACATCACTTAAGAATTTCTCGATTCCTTCCTCATCGAATGGCCCAAGGTATGGTTTGTATAGACGTCGGTTTGGATTCAACACCATTAAATTCGGAAATACGTCAGACAATTTAAAATCCTTGATTAATTTCTTGGATCCTTTGGTTAATGCATCAAACCACATGAATCTGAAACCTAGTTTGTCATCTGTATGTTTTTTATGAACTTTTTCTTTAACTTTCTTTAGAATGGAAAGATTGTTCTCGTGTTCGGTGACAGATTCTTGAAATTCCGGTTCCACAACCAAAAATGTGAGTATACAAATTCCAGTACGTTTGGAAAGGCATTCAGATTCGAGATGTGACTGAGACTTGATCTCGATTATTTCGGGGTTGACTTTCGTGTTAATAGAACACAAGAGTTACATGACGGCGCTTATTAATTGTGCAACATAGAATCGACCATAAGTTACTAAACGATACGCACATTGTTCCTCGGCTTCTTCCTTTACGACATATTTAGGCTTGTTCTTGGGTAGGGCGTATTGACTTAGAAAGTTGGATAATGAAGCGTACTTCAAGTTGCCTATAAAAAAAAAAAAAAAAAAAAAAAAATCAAATATCATTTATTACGGTTAGCGTGATGCTGCAAATGATAAACCAGAATTTGAAGACGTATATATTTTCTCCCTGGTAGCGACCTTTGTAATCAATCATTTCGTTGGTTCCCCAGGTGACAACGATTAATTTTGGATAATCTTCAACACCATACTTTTCGCCAATGACTTTTTCGCGTTTCCTGACCTCGCCAAACAATAACCTATCATGAAAGTCGACGGATAATGCCTTATACAAATAGGTTGTTCGATCTTTATCGGTAAATAGAATTACTTTAGGCATTGTTTCGTTCTAATTAACATTAAAAATAATCAATTCATTGGTGAGTCTGCAAAAAGAAATATATATATATATATATATAGATATCGAATAACTACCTCTTTTTCTAGGAATTCTTCTATTGTCAGAGTTTTTGTCGTTGGATGTTCATTAGATATGGGCTGAACAAAAGAAGGTATTTCAGGAAGGGCAAAATCGGCAATTCCTTTCGCGGTTCGTGGACCGTTATAATCTATGAAACAATCTTAGTTCCTCCGTTTCACCGTACGTAAAGGAGGCGACTGTGCTTTGCATAATTCTATATTACCTTTGGCTTTCTTATAGAATTTTCCGGTTTTCTTGTCCTTGATCATTTTACTGGGGAAAAGTTTTATCGTTGGAAAGCCTGAACATTTTTTTATTTCATATGTTACGTTTAGCATACGAATCGACACGGCATTCGATATTCATTGACCTTCCTTACCTTTAATTTCATATGAACTACACACATTTCTGTTTGATTGGTCATCGCAGTCTACTGCGGCTATCTTTACGAGACCTTTTAGGTTTTCGGCGGCTTTCTTATATTCAGGTGCAAGCCTGTTTCGATCAAATGGAGGTACGTAAATGGTTGGAATATTTAATGGTGAATTGACCAGTTAATTAAACTGACCGACATACTTTTTGCAATGTCCACACCAAGGTGCAAAAAATTCTACCACCACTACTTGCTGGGATAAAAAAAAGTGGAATGTATAAGCGAATCATTGATAAAAGAAGTGTGATTTGTCGACTCACCTCGGTCGTTAAAACTTCATCTAACCAATTTTTTTCGTTGAGAATGAACACAGGCCCACCCTTATCATATAGTGCCAAAGTGTTTGGCACCGTCACCAACAGACATAATGAAATTATCGAAATCAAATGATACAACGTTGACGACATGTTTGACGAAAAAAATTTATGATAGAGAATTTCGAGTCTTTTTTTAATTATCTTTAGAGAAAGTCGTGGCACATTTTTATTGGTGCCTTTTAATGTCATATGTTCTTACTGCGAGTGAATTGTGTAACTAGTTACGGAGTGTGTGGAAAGCGACTCGATTAAATTTCCGGGAGAAGAGGGCGTTCAGGTATGGTAGCTCGGTTTAACCGAAATGGGTGTGCTCTTTCAACGCTACTTGTGAGAGGAGCGTGTTTTGTCATGCTAGGAACGGAAATGCATAAAAGTAATTTTATAAGAAGCACCCATCACCACTCTATACCTTTTTCCCACTTGCATTCATTGGTCGATTTATTTTTAGATGATGAGAAGGTTATATGCGAAATTCGAACGGCTAAAATTCTAGAATGTTGGCTAAGTTCATATCGCGAAACTTGAGGATTATGTGCGACTTGGGTTGCAATAAGATTGGAACTCAACAAAGACAAAGCCAGAGCACACACACACCGTTGCATGCGTAAATTCGGGTTATGCCAGACCTGGGGTTTCGAAAAATTTATTTAATTGTACATAATTATTAAGTACTGTACATAAAAAATTTTCACTGTTGATAAAAACAATCTTGATATGGCATAAAATTTATTACAACGGAATTTTTGTCAAAACTGTATGGAAAATAAATAAAATAAACCTTATTTATAAATGGTTAATTAATTATGAATGTTTTTACATGTCATGGTCGGAAGGGATACTTCCGTTAGCTCCCTTACACACCGTAGCGTTGTCCCGTGTTAAAAAGGTCGTTGCAGGCATTTTATTAAATTTTCGAATTATTAGCGACTACATAATTTTGAAAAAATATGATGACGGAATAATTCATAACAGAGATTGCTTTTTTATTCGATGACGAAGTTATCATCTTTCGTGTCTTCCTTAACTACGGGGTTGAAAAATTCATTGATATATGGTTAGTGGACATCCTTTCCTTGAAAGAAAACGGATAAGCGACATGCGGGCAGTTCATGTAGAAGGTTTAGAAGGTTTATGACGATTGACCCACTCGTCCCGAGGGTCCCGAGGGCTTACTTATCGATCATAAATATCAACAATTCACCAGAATTTTTTTTTTTTTTTTTTTTAAAAAAAAAAAAAAAAAAACTTACGTCGTTCCGCCAAACCTTTGCCAAAATTTCTGAATGCGAGTGCTCCCGAAACAAACGTCAGCTAGAAATCGATGTAAGTTTAATCATCTGACGCGTGCACTAAGAAATTTGACCGATAAATATGTTATATCCTTAGCATACCAATGATAAGATTATACCCGCAATAACTGAATAGGATGGAAACGGAAATGAGTCGAGGAAGTTGAAAAAATAAAGACAAAGATGGGTAAAAGAAGTTTTAATAATCACCGAGCAATATGAAGAAATACCAGCTTTGCTCGATATGTATCGTAGCATGCCTCAAAAGAATCACGAAATCAGCGATGGTACAAAGCAACAGCATGAGATATGTCATCATCCCACATCTATTTTCTTCTCGTATCTATTTAAAAGAGGATTTTTTATATCATTGTTAAAGATTTCGGTATATTAAAATTGCGCATATCAAATGGGTCGAAACTTACAGAGTAATATGCAAGAATCTCCGATAATACTATAATTATCGTCACAATCATGTGGAAGTAATACAGACCGCTAGAAAGGGTGAAAGTGATATTGTTTTCTCTACGATTATCGATTTCAAATATCCCAAACACCTCGATGGCCGTGACCAGGACGAAGAAAATGTCAAGTTTAAGAAACATGAAGAAGATAAGTACAGTTTTATATATCTCTGTTGTGAGAAACGGCATCGCATTAATAAACGTCAAATTAAAGCAGACAAATTTATACTTGATAAATAAAAATAAGATAAGATTACTCTGCATTTCAATATTCGCGCCTATTCTTTTATATATGTTCCAATTGAATTCCTTAATGCGTAAAATTTTCGGTTATAATTGATGACGTATCCACCATTCTGAATTAGTCGAAAGGACTTACCATGAAAAGCTTTAAACTAAGGAATGCAGTAATGAATGAAAAGAAGGTCAGGCATACCACAAGTGGTACATCATAGCCGGAAAAATCTTTGGAAATGTTTTCGGGATTATCCTTACACGCCGCATCTAAATCCGAACTCCATTTTCTGATTTCGAAAATTTGAATCTAAAATAAACACCGTCAATAATGTGCGATGTGTGAAACCGGCGTCTCTTGAAAAAAAAAAACCTACGATGCCACAAACTCCGCACAAAAAATTTATCACTGCATTCGTGACGAGCTAATGTGTAATATGGTGGTTAGGAGAGTACGCGAGTATAGGTGGAATGGGATGCTTCAAGATGTGCTTTTAAATAGCAATTTGACATTTACCTGAATTTTATTTTGATTATAGATCTAAAATTTACCTCGAAGAGAAAAAGATCGATAGATTAGCGACAATTAGCAACGGTCAACCCATTTCTTAAGACAATGACGATGCGTTACCGCGTTCAAGGAAAACCAAAGTTGAAAGAATTGAAAGGCGATAAATATGCAGTTTTCTTGTTCGATAAGTGACATGCGTGTGATGGAAGGTTTGGTACAATTAATGCCATATTGATTCAAATCATCCGTCAGTTTCAGTTTGAAAGTGTTATTTCGGTAGAGCACTCGGCTCTCTAACACGAGAACTACGCATAGTTGTAAAACCGAGACAAAAACGAATAACTTTGTCCATTTTGACTCCACCACTCTTTCACGAAACTAATAAGTTGATGGGGGAGAATCAAGTTAAAGAATTCAATCGGTGCCAGCGCATTGTCATATGACAAAAACCTTCGTTAACCAGTTAACTTCTGTGTCGTCAGGGAGTTCGCTTCTTTTACTCATATCCTTCGCAAAAAAGGGAAGGTGAAATAATTGGATGTGGCGAATGCGTTAGTTTCTTTCGGTTTCAAAGTGAAAGAGGACAAGGATATTTCGCCCTCACTAACTGTTGTGTATTAGTATGCAAGCCTTTTTAATAATTCGCGTAACCAATATGCTGCGATGATCCCGATGAGGACAAGTAGACCCTTTTATATCTTACGTTACGTATTATTTATTTATTTCGTCTCACAGTGTGGGTCTCCTCAAATACGTACATATACGGTATATTACAATTAGAAATGGTAGTTCGGAATTTCTCGGTTTTTAATGGGAAAACAAGGTATTCCCCCAGAATAGTTCTAGCTTTATTCTCTGAATGGTCATTTGATACTAACTCGACACTTTCGTGGCTAGGACCTGCAAGTTTCATTCGAGATTAGGTCACCTCTTTTTTCTTTCTTTGTTTTTTTTCCTCAATTGCTTACCGCCTATTTCAGCATGAGCTTACTGCAAATCGAATCGGACTTCCATGAAATGGAATTACATTAAATGTCCCACGGTTACATTATTGACGGCAGAGCTACTCGAGCAAAGCAAGATAGACGACTGATTGTTCCCTTGTTTGTCATGCGATCAAAGGAATCCAATTTAGAACTTCTCGCTTACAAGATTGAAAGAAATTTAATAGCTTCTCGAAATAATAATAAACATGCCTCGACCGATCCGATCTACAATGTGATTGAAGCTCGGCTATGCCACACCGATTGACCAGTTTCTAGCCGGTTCAGCCAATTGCCAGTGCGACCATATACGTGGCTTAACGGAATGCGCATTTTATGTAACCAGATTTCTAATTGGCAATCAAACGACTTAACAATTCCTGACAAAAGGGGAAAGGAAAACAATGAATGCATGTATTTTCTTAAGAGATAGAACGGACAATTTATGTGATCCCTATCGCTTTAAAGACGACCCTTCGGATATCATTCATTGGTGTGACAGTTTTTGTGCATTATTTTTTTCCCACCAATAAATTAATAATGTAACATTTGATCTCTCTTTACGCAAATAAACCCAACTCGATATTATTCTTGATTAACCACTGGCCTTTGATTAAAAAAAAAATTAAAATTAAAATAAATAAAACAAGAATGGACGGACTACACATTGGAACTTCTGCGGACAACTTTTTTCAAACCGATCACGACCTAGCCGTCCAAAGACGTCGAGCAGCCAAGCAAAACAACAAAGCCGGCGATCCAATTGTTTGCACTTCCAAAGTTCTATGCATGCTGCTTCCTGATGAGCCGGATTATGTCTATTTCGGGGAATCAGGATTCGTCGCGAAAAAGAAGAATTTGTTGGTATGCTGCTCAAGCGCGATAATATGAATTCGATGATTTTCACGCTCGACAAAAACTTTATCCATTTTTTGTGTAGTCCGGCAAGACTGTAAAGACATTCAGCGGACATAATGGCCCGGTCACCCGCCTTGCCTTATGGCGTAAAGATGGGGTGAGTTATCTTATTACCGGATCTTGGGACAAAACACTAAAGAAGTTTAATACCGAGGTGGGTCATCAACTCATCATTTGGCCAATTACTTTGGAGGTTTTATTAATTAAATATTTTGTAGACTGGCGAATGCCTCATCACATTTACTTCGCACACTGATTTCGTGAAGTCCCTTGCAATTTCAAACACAAGATCAAAGCTTTACTCTGGCTCCTCAGATAAAGACATTCGTTCATGGGATCTTATCACTGGTGAGCCGTTACAAGTATTCAAGGGTCATACACGAGGTATCGAGGATCTCGCCTTCGATGAAGGAGAAAACTTTTTGTACTCTGCATCCTCGGACAGGCTTGTAATGAAGTGGGATCCTCTAACCGCAAAGTGCTTGCAAGTATTTGAAGGGCATCTCACGAGCATATACGCTTTGCAGATTTTCGATGATGAGATGTGGACAGGTATATTCGACGACAGAATTTCTTTAATACATCACGCTAAAAAAAAAAAAGAACGTATCGGTTGAAATTAATCTTGCCCTACTTTTTTTTTTTTTTTTAAAAAGCCTCGGCCGATACGACAGTCAAAAGATGGGATCTGATAGTACGTTGACAAAATTTGAGATAAAATGTCCACGGAAAGTTTTGCTCAGCCTAATGGAATCCCTTTTTTTTGTTAGACTGGAAAACCGGACACGACCTTTGAGCATTCCGATTTTGTCAAGTGCATCGCATTCTTCGGATCATTTGTTATCACTGGCTCGCGTGATGAGACGATTCGAGTTTTTGATATTGGGGTTCGTTAATTCGTTTTAAGTGCTCTGACGCATTCCCATAATTCGACCGCATTCGAATTCATTTCTCCCTCCGATAGAGCGGGGAATTGATTAATGAAGTTGAAGGACACTTTGATGAAGTATCTTGTATGGTAGTTAGAGGATCCACGCTATACAGTGGTTCCTTAGATTGTACAATAAGAAAGTGGTCTCTCGTTGGTATGTTAATTCCTGTTGTATATAATTTATGTTAATTTATTTCTCTAATAAATAACTTGTTTTTTCTTTTTTCGGTGCGTCGAAAAGACATTGTTAGTCCGACGAAAGACAAGGGGGCAGAAAGTCGAGAGAAAACTGAAAGTGAGCCTGTCCCTCAGAAGGAAGTGCCTGGTGTAACGCTCACTGAGGAGGAGGAGCGAGAGCTTGCAGAATTACTGGAGAGTGACGATGATTAATAGTCATTTTAAATTCAAATAGTTCTAGCCGTGCTTTTCCGAGAGGATTCTGTCGGAATATAAGTATAAAAAAGAAAGTACGAGTTCATATAACTTTCTTCAAAATAAATGTATAGAAGAATTTTGTATGCTATAGTTTTGGATCAAGTGATCGGTCGGGTTGATATATGCGGGTTGGTAATAAGGGAGGCTGGTATTAAATGATTTTACTTGCACAGAGAAATTTGCTTTGTGAAAAACATTTGTGGAGTGGAAGCTAATTATTATTAATTAATTTGGCATAGAAAAAAATGACCATTCAAATCTATATTAAATAATTAAATTTAAAAACTTTAACAATTGTTAATTGAATTGTATTGTATAAATCATGTAAATTTTATATTCATTTAAATTATAAAATTAAATTTTGGAAATTTGGTGTTTACTGTAAATAATATAATTATTTAAAAATATTAGATATCATAACAAATATTATTACCAACTTTATTTAATGAAATAAATTTATTTTCTCAAAACAATGTTTATTAAACAATGGATTTTTATTTTTTTTTTATTTTTTTTTTATAAAATGGTATAGAACTGCTTTTATTAAATCAAGAATATATTTTGATTTTTATTAAAAAATTAAACTTATAGAAATAATCAAATTCTAAAGATGGAGTCTAATTTATTTATACCATTTTTTTTAATAATTAGTAATCAGATTTTGACAAACTTTTTTCAATATAATATATAATAATATAAGTTTTAAAATATGTAATTTTTTTAACTTTTTTTTTTAAACACTGGCTCAGCCTTGTTTTATTTATATATTTGCAGCAAAATTACATAGGAAGGCAACCCTAGAACTTACTATCTGTTTTCTACCAAATAAAACTCAATAGAGGATTCCCTTTATGGAAATACTCACCTTGCAGCTTGTTGCCATCCCTAGTAAGGGAGTTAACCTGCCAAGGCTGGACTAGTGCTAAAATAAATTTTAAAGATAAAAGAGTTGTCTATAATGTTTATGAGCTACTGGTCTATAAAAGTAATTTTTTTAATAAATTTAATTATTTATTAATAAAAATATAAGTACTTTAATTTTTTTTTTAAATATTCTATTTTTATTAATCCTTTAATCTATACAAAAAAGATGTTCACAAGAAGTTTTTATATTTTTTTTTACTAATAAACACTAGTTGAAATTATATTATTTGATAGCTGAATTATTGTCAAATTTGATTAAATTTAATAATAAAAATATTGCTGAATTCTTTTTTATTGCTGCTACTTGGCATAGTACTATTTTAGCAATAAATTAGCAATTAAAAATTTGGCAATCAAAAATTTAACAATTAAAAACTCAACAATTAAAAATTTATTAATTAAAAGTTTAACAATAAATTGTCAAAAAATTCATTAACAATTCAACAAATAATTCAAAACTATTTAACAAAAATTCATTTATTAAAAGTTTATAATAAAATTATTTATTAACAATTCAATAAAAATTTGGCATTAGACCTATAGGTCTATAACATAGTAATAGTGTATCCAGGTCACAATCACAAGATCCAGAGTTCAATATCACATATAAGTCATATGAGAAAAATAACCAAGTTACATAAGAATGGGACTTTTGATCACCCTGTTGATCGTTAGACTGAAAAAGATCTATCATAAGAATTGCATAAAGAAAGGTCTCTGATATGGTTACACAAATTATACACGATCTAATCTTCTTTGAACTGAATAGGAAACAAATCCTAGGATCAACTTTTAAAACTGCAGTAATTATCTGAACATATAACTAATCCCAAAATTGTATTAACAGACTCTAGGACCCTGCTTCTAGGACTACGATAATTGTCTGAATATTCTCTACCCCAAACTGACTAGCAAACTCTAGAATCTAACCATCTTAACTTGAAATATCTCAATCCAGTACTTGCTTAAATAAAGAATCTATCAAATAGGACTTGTCTGTAATGCTTCAGGTGGTAACAAAGAGAATAAAAATCCCCTCTAAGGTTTAAACAAAAAGTATTAGAATATCTGAAAAGTTCAAATAACCCTTGAGGATTTGATATTAATGTATAAATTAGTATATCAGTTTTTTTTTTTTTTAATAATCCACAATAATATCACAATAGCATGTCTTTATTGAGATATTGAAAAATACTATAAAGTTTATAGACTTTTACAAAGTGACTAACTCATTATTGTACATTATTATTTAAAGGGCTACACTACTTAAAAAATATGAGGAGTTTACTAAGCTAGTTCAGACTAAACAAAACTAAGTCTAAGCTAGGTACTCTAAGTCAAATTTTGAAAACAATATCTCACTCTCCTAGTAGCTTGCACTAGTTGAAATTATGTCATTCGGCTACCGAATTATTGCCGAATTTGACAAAATTTAATAATAAAAATATTAACGAATTATTTACAATTGCTGCCACTCGGCATTAAAAATATCGGCATTCTGCGAAAAAAAAATTCGGCACAAAATCCGGCAATATTGTGGCAAAAAAAAATTTTGCGGGCAAAAAAATTGGTACTGCGGCAAAAAATTCGGCAAAAAAAAATTGATACTGCGGCAAAAAAATTGATACTGCGGCAAAAAATTCGGCAAAAAAATTGATACTGTGGTAAAAAATTTGGCAAAAAAATTACTGCAAAATTTGACAAAAAAATTATTGCGGAAAAAAAATTCAGCAAAAAAATTATTGCAGCAAAAAATTCAAATTTCACGAAATTTATTAAAAAATTACAAATTCAATTAACTAAATTA